TACAAAATTTAATAATAATAATAATAATAATTGTTATTGTTCGCTACAAGTATTTAAGTTTATTTTTAATTATATTATTACTTTTGTTAATTTTCAATTTCTATCTTAAATATGATATATCTAAAATTCAAGTAATTAATATGAAGAAAAATTTCTCACGTACAATGCATGCGCATAATTACTAATAGGATATGAAGATGAAAATACACTCTTCAAGCAAGAAACACGCATAAAAAAAGTATTTTCACTTGAAATCACTTTTGTGAACTGAAACACAAGCAAGAACAACAGTTTTGCTGAAAACAATTCAACCAAACAAGAAGTAATTAGTGAAATTAAAATGCCTATGGTGCTAATGTGGTGCAATAGTACAACATAGAATTAATGTCACTTACCATATATGGCCGGATGGATGCGTCTGGTCTGGCCAATTCTTATTTACAAATAAAAAGATATATATATATATATATATATATATATATATATATATATATATATATTTACATTTAAATCGTAAATCTTCAATGCTAAATTTTATACCCCTAAATTATAAATCTTGAACTTTAAACCCCTAAAACTCTAAAAAAAAAAAAAAAGAAAAGTTGACAGTAAGAGCTCTTGCTTTTTTTTGTTCTTTCAACCCAGAGCAATAACAAGAAGAATCTCTGTGTGTGTGGACAAGGAATCCAAAAGGAGTACGTATATTGCTGGATCCCACGGTTGATGTGAAGAAAAAGAAAGAATGAAAGGCATTAGATAAAGTAATAAGTAATAATGCCATATTTGTGTGAGACGAGAAGGGGACACAGAAATCATGTAGAAGAAATTGGGGCATGAAGGTGACCGCCCCCCCCACCCTGTGCCGAATCGAGGGAACATTGTTGATGTAAGCGCATCAACTGGGCCACCCAGAAATCATATTTATGCATTAATTGAAATTTCAAACTCTGAAACTCTTTCTTGCGTGCACAGATCTCATAGATGGTCTCATCATGTATCTGAGGCTTATTCCTCTTTATCAAATCTTAATAGAGAGAGGAACATTAATCGATTACTTGTTTGTGTAGTGGGATCCGGAGGAGTTGCTTTTTTGTTTTTGTTTCCTGATGCTTGTACCATCCCATCCCATGTACTACATTTCTTATCTTCCTCTTTTCCTTTCTAGGCTCAAATCAAATCCATTATATTGATTCTTAAGTATTCAAAATTTTCATAATTAAGTTAGAAAGTTCATCAATTAATCCTTCTTCCTTACGAAACTTGTAAGAGTAGTAGCTATCAGAATATTAATGTTTCTGTAGTAAGACCAACCCAAATACCCAATGACGACGACGACGACGACGACGCCTTTAATTTTTTTAGTTTTGATGATAAGAAGAGATAACATGCATGGAGGGAGGCAAAGTAGATACCTACCCACTACCCACTACGCATCCTCCATGGGAATGGGTTGGGTTTATTAATTGCTTTCTGTTTTGGGAGTGCGGTGCTACTCCTTTCCTTGCCTCTGCTCAAAACTGGGCATGCAATGATGCAATTAATTAATTGAGTTAGGCGCTGGATGGTCAACCAAATATCAGAATGAAAACCAACACAAACCATTAGTGGTAGTGGAGCGATCGAGAAGCTAGAGGGTTATGATCTTGACGATTCTTGAATCACCACTACTGTAATTAAAAACAGAATGATCGATTTTCAAACAGGGCTATATATAGTCCGGCCGATTGATTCATATTTTGCTGTCATGCCCCAATAATATGTATTTGATATTTGTTTTCTTTGTCTTTCCTTTTTGTTAACCAAGTTGCGTGTCAAGGGGAGAAAAGAGACGGCCCATGCACCCAGAACAAACACTACACTGCTAGTTGATTCCAATTTCCAAGTGAGCTCTACCTAGAGGCTGGGGTTGAAAGTTTGGAGAAGGAGGTATGATGTGGACTAAACAATCAACATGTGAATATGTATCCATTGTAGGGTTCCCCAATTTGATGGATGCATGGGTCTGAGTTCGCAACATCATCTTCATCTGCCCACGTGGGTTTTTTATATATAACAAGACAACAACACAAATTGGAAAATAAATAAATAAATTTTGTTAGAAGAAAATAATTTGTCATTTTCCAAGATGAACAAACTGCTCCTCGTCTTCCTGTCAATCTTAGCTGTTCGATGGCAACTCTTACCGGCTCTTGATAGACATTCCTACTTAATTACTAAAATACCCTTCCATAGCTTTTTTCTTCTTCTTTTCCATGTTTCCTTTCCTTCATCATCATCTCATCTCTGCATCCTTTACTGACATGGTGTTTGGTTCTATATTGACTGTTTATTAAATAAATGTTTTTTTTGGTTTGTGTGAGAATTTCTCCTAATACTCAACCTCAGCTGTTTATTTATTATTATTGATCTTATGTGGGTGCCTAAATGTCAAACAACACCATATAAAAATTTGCCAACCACTTTAATTTTTTGTTTTTCAAGATAAAAAATAGCAAGGTTTTAAAAACTGACCTGAAAATAGAACCGCTGTGGCCACTAGTTTCCGGGTTAGCAGATTGATCGTTCAGATTGAACGGTTTGGACAGATTACATTATTAGGGAAAATGTAATCTTTTAGACTTTTCGGTAATTAGGTTTTTATGAGAAAAAGAGAAGTTGTGGTTGTCAGCTGAGAAAGAAAGAAAGAAGAACAAAAGAAGGAAGGAAAGAAAAAAGATAAAAGAAAAGAAAGGAAGAAAGAAGGGAAGAAGAAGAAAGAAGTGGAGGAGGATTTGACCTTCTTCAGTAATGATAATGACAATAGTGACGGCGATGACAATAGAAACACAGATCTCAGATCTGTTTTCTCTCTAGTCTCCAACCTCTACAATCTTCTTCTTCTTCTCTATTATACCTGGTATCTAGTGATCTAAAATCTGAGATCGTTCTTCTCTCTCTCTTTATTGTACCCGCTAACCGTTTTCCGGGTCGAATAGGTTGATGATTCAACCACTCAGGTCAGTGGTTTCTAACCAAGTCAACGGATTAAGGGTGAAACGGAACTGCTTGCTTGGATGATTTTTGAGCCAATTGATCCAATCGTCCAGGTCAACAACGGTTCAAAAACACTAAAACAACCCCTAATTTTTTAAGTAAAATGTTCAGTTTGGAGCTACTAACCCCTTTAGAACAATAAAACTACCCTAGACTCATTTGTTGCATGCTTGCATTTATTTGGATATCAAATGTCAGAAAATAAAGTTTTCTTCATAAATTTAAAAACCAACCCATAACCGGAACTGTGGTTCAACCATTCAATCCAAACAGCAAACAGATCAACATCAGCTCATGATATTTTAAAAATTGAAAAAAAAATAAAATAAAAATTGGCCCAAAAAACATTGTTTAGATTAAAAGGATTAACAGTTTGATCGCAATTCAATGATTTTTTTTGGAAAAATAACAGTTGAGGGGACAGGGGTAAAACAAAACTGATATCCTAACCGGTCGAACGGTGGTCTGACTGTCCGAATCAACAACGAATAAAAACCTTGCTTCAAACAATAAATGGAGATGGAGCCACAACAATACAATTAATTAGTGAATTACATTTACGTCCCTCCTTCGAATCAGAAAATGGGCTGATATACTTTTATTTCTTATAGAGAAGCAGAGTCATTTAAAAGAGGTTTTTAATATTCCCGCCTTCCTGTGCGAAACTGCCAATTAAAGCAGTTGGGAAACCCAGACCATGAGAGCGACCCTCTACTCAACCAACAGTCTCAACCTCAATATAATGGATTAATTCTACAAAATGACAAACACATCCCTACCATTTTACCTATTTATTAAGTCCCATCCTCAGAATAAGTCAGAATATTCTTGAAATCACTCATTTTCATTACCTCACCTCACTCACTATGAGGACGTTTGGTATCGTGGGTGTTTTTCTGAAAAGTGGTGCCACGTAGGATCCGTGTAGGTGATTCCACTTTTCACCGCTTATATGACTGTTTGGTTTAGGTGATTTTTGAAAAAACAGTGAAAAATGGGCATGTATTGTAAATCGCATCTCTCCTATTGCATGAAATGTCGAATTTGGCGTTTCATGCATCGATGAATCATCACCCCTAACGGCTATATGATGTGGTGCTTATGTGTATCCTAGATGTCAATAAAAAAACAGTATAATATATACACATACATGAAAAATGATGATAAAAATCACCTTACCAAACAGCATTAATGTTACTTACTGCTTACATGCCAGAAACACTGCCAAAGAGCATTAAGGTAGTGGTGAATTGATCCTAGTCCTAGGGATCACTAGGAGTCTAGGATGGACAGCACCACAATTATAATTAATTCCTTTGGGCACATGAATCTCGGAATTCCATGCTATAAGCTAAATTAAAATTTAGGTAATCCACCTTTGCATGGGATAAGACTTGGTTGATTGATTGACTTAATTATGATTAATTTTTAAACCAACCACGTTAAGGATGGTTTGAACGTTGAAAATAGTCAACAAATCGGACAGTGGAGGATTATTTTAATCCATTGAATAGAGCGACTTAGATTTCCCATGAAGAAACTTACCTCTGACACCGCGACAATGGAATGGACCCTAATTAAGATTTAAAGATTTTTATTCTGGTCAAGAGTCAAGCCTTTTGGTATGATGCACCTGCACTGCACATGCTTGCTTTACAAATAAACCAGCCTTGTTGCATTTACTAAATTACCCCTTCATGAAATTTTGTTACAGAAAATAATCAAACGGCCCACAAATGTCAAAGGGGAATTGGGCCCATCATCAATAACCCCTAGTTTTTCACAATAATTGAAAATTTTGAAATACTCCTTCGTGAGGGTATTTTCGTCGTTGGGAAAAAGGAGTATGATGATATGAAAATGATCCTTTTGTGAGAATTCACTTCACTGCGATTATAACTGCCGCTCACCCCAAATGCGTGAACATAACGGAGAGGATGTTAACGGAATAACAGCTAAGCGTTTACAGATTTTTGCTCTATAAAAAGAAAATGGGGACCCTAGAACGGTTTAAGCCTTTAAGGGAGTGGGGGAGTGGCAAAGACTAGCAAATGCCTCCCTGAGCCCGAAGGCGGTTATTGGAAACCAGAAGCTGTCTTTTTTTTGTTGTTGGGTGATGGGTGCAGGTGGAGAATTCCAAAGGGATCGCATTGATCCGATTCCCTCCCCCATACCAAAGTGGGCGGTTTTGATTCTCCGTCTTCTTTTCTTTGATTTATCGGATCATGCGATCTCTTCGGAATTTTCCATCTGTGGCTTTAGATTTCTCGTCATCGTTTCGAGGTATGCGTTCCATCTGCCTTTCTTTTCTATTTTTTTTTTTTTTTTTTATTTCTTTATCTGCCGACTGCTTAGCTTCTACTTCTACTGGTAAAGGGTTGCTTTTTCTGTTTACTGGTTTATGTTTTGTGTGGTTTTCTCATTGGGTTGAGGCTTTAGAGTATCATCCCGTTCTTCTTTTGCCAGGTTCTTTTGTTTAATTTATGTCTATCTGTTTTCCTGTTGTTGTTTTTACATCTTTGTATCAGAGAAATGGATGATATATTTGTGTTTTCGTTCATGGATAATGGTCATCACCTCATAGGATGAATTTCTGGGGTTACTTTTATGCGTTATCAAACGTAAAATTTCTTCTCTCTCTCTCTCTCTATACTTTTACTTGCACATAAATATCAATTAAGAAGTTGGGATGTCCATCCTCCACCCCATAATTTCTTAGCCTTTTGGAGATCAATTTTATTCTTTAAGAAGTAGTGAGCAGTAGATATAACTTCTTGTTTGTTATCCGTGCTGGTGGGTGTGATGGTATGTTAATGGTAATATTGATGGTGATGATGAGACTTATCCTTTTTTTCTCATGAAGAAAAAAGGATCAATATATATAGTTCCAGGATAAAAGCTACAGAATATACAGCCTTTGCATTTAATGTATAAACCTATAAATTGCAGCAGCAGATGTGTGTAAGCAGAGGAAGCGATATTGGATGAGAAGTGTTAATGTATAAACCTATTTTCTTTGCAAAGTACTTTGTTCATATTGTTTTTCAGGGACCTCTCTGAGCTTATGCTCTTGCGAGTTGCCTGATTCACAATTGGATAGATTGCAGGTAGGCCTTGTTTGTTTCTTCAAATTGTCCTGTTGCCTTGTTAGATTTTTGGACTCGTCTCTGATGTCAGGCCAAGTAGGACCGAACAGCCAATCATGTCTAGCTTGCAGATTTCTGCTGATGATAATAGTTATTTGTTTTTCTAGCGTTGTTGCTGGGTTTTCTAGTTTGGTTTCATTTAATTTACAGAAAGAAAGAATTAGTGCATGCTTGGATTATGGAAAGAAGAAAAGAAAAGGCACCTATAATAATTGGATTACAAGTTTGATTTACTGGTATATGTGGAGTTCATCACTCCTGTTTTATATTTTATAATAAGGAATTAGTACTGAGAACATAGACCTTATTGGGTAGAGTACTTACTTGCATAGATAGCCATGACCAAACGTTATTATATTTGTATATGGGGGTTTCATGATTCTATTTGAAAACTCAAAACTAAATTAATTTTAGGCTTGTTATAATATATAGCCAAATTATGTTGGACTTGTTCTTGAATCAGTATGAAATGACTATGTGACTTTGGAGCCTATTTTACAGTGAGGCATGAAGCTGGGAAGGTTGGAACCGATTCTGTGAATTGGGTAACCCATTACTGTAATAAAAAAAAAAAAAAAAAAACAAGAAAGAGTTCATGATGACACAGTCTACTACACACACTGCTTGGGAAATAGAGGGCTTATTGATTTCCAATGGGTGTTAGGCGATCAAGAGTAGAGAAAAAAAAGAAGTGGTTGGACAGATTCTAAACCACATGATCATGGATGTACATTGAACAATAAATTAATACAAATTAACTATATATAGTTGATGGCCATTATATTCCAACCTGTTCACTGCACATGAATCAACAGCAAAATTGATCTGATCCTGCTGAGGTGCATAAAACAAATTAGTATTTGGCTCGTTATCAGACTGAAACCAGCCAGCTGGACAACACTGGAAATATCTTGCAGATCAAAGATGTTGTGATCTAAAGAGGGGAATCATAATAATCAATATGAATAAGAGAGCTGGGTGAGAGGAAGAAACCCAAGACAAGGTTGGTTGGAGACATTAATATTGGAAATGTCTAGGTGTTTGTTTGTCTTTCTATGAGAGGTTTCATTTATATCCTTTTGTTAATGCTAATGCGTCCGGATGACTCAATTATTTCAGCAAAATCAATGTCGTAATTGATTGTGTGTCTACACACTTGTCTCCATATTCCCAATCCTGTAATGACCCATCTCTTTCACCTCCAAATGCATGTCTACTTAGCCCTATTAATGGCTCGGGTCGACCCCACTAGCTTCAAGGGTAATGGGCTGAGCTTGGATGCATTGATGTTGGGCTTCATGCATGATATTCCAAATCGAGGCTTTTGCTCAACCCATCCAGTTGCTTGATTTTTTACCAAAATATTAGTTTCAGAACTGCCTCAGGGTTTAGGATTTTAGGCTGCATTTGGATGTAATGTAAATTAAGAATTGATGTAAATTTTATATCGGTTCGATTTTGTACATGTTTAGAAAGGGTGTAATTATTATTAACATAAAATTACACTTTGGTTTAGTTTTGTCTATGTTTGGATGAAATGTAGTTTTATGTGTCTGTCGATAATCGATATAAAACCTTATAAACTTAAAATTTTACATCGATAATCGAGATAGAAATTACATCGATTTTATCAATACAAAACTTTACACTCTTCCACCCATCACTATTTTTAAAAAAGCAACAATCACATTCTGGTTTAGTGTAAAATAATATCAATATATTTTTACACCGATTACAAACGCAACCTTAGGGTTTTGTGTTGAGGCACATCAAAGCCGGCCCTAATGACAGAATGTAATGCTTATATGTCTATGAAACCAGGTCAGACTATATATACAGCCTGAGTCCTGACTAATCAGACGAAGAGTTTTTCTCCTTCAAACATGTGGCCAGCCTCCCACTCAGATAAATTTTAATTCAGAATAAAAATATATTAAAGTGTTATAGGCCCCACTATTGTTCCAAATAAAAAAAAAAAAATTAAAAGACATTCATATCCTCTAATGACGAATGAAATCTGATTTCAGTTTTTTAACTGAAATAAAAACATCAGGACAAAGGCTTTCAAGACTTCATGTTGGTTTGTGTACCAGAATGGGACACAATTTAGATATCTTTAAATTAATCAAATAAAAAAATTCATCCTCAAATGCCTCAAGATTGGACGTATGAATAGTCGATCTCAAAACAATATACGTACCCACATGGCTACATATTAGTTTTCCCATACTGAACACTGGGTCTTTACAAACTTATGGCCTGAAGTAAATATTTGGTGGAAATCATGGCCATGTTCGTTCGATTTTTATTTTTCTTCATTATCTTCAATATTAAAATTTTAAAATAGACAAAAATGGATAGAAATAGAAAATGTTGCTATGCCTATGAACCAAATGCTTTTTTTCAAAAAAAAAAAAATCTTTTTGTAACAATAATAAGAATAAATTTTGAATATGTATGATTATAAATTTCATATTCATTCATTTTTTTCATCAACCAAAATAATAATACAAGTATACATATAATACACATTAGTAGATATGCAAGACCCATACCAATCAAAGACAAATCAATAATGTGGGCCCCATAACAATAACACAGCATACAAAAAAGAAACAAAGACGAGAAATTAGAATTTTTTTTTTTTTTTTTTTTTTTTGCATTTGGTTGCATAGATAAAATATAGAAGAAAAATTAAAGGAAGCAATTGGCACCTATCTAAAACTAATTAAAAGGAAACTAGTTTGCATAATTAAGTAGGCAGTTGTACAAATAAAGAAAAGAGATTGAAACTTCTAAATAGAAATGGAAATTAAAAATTGTAAAATTCAAAATAAAATTAATAACATGAAGTACAAAATGCCTAACAATTTCATCAAATTGAAAATAACATAATCACTAAAGATTATGTTATGCCTCATATTCATTTTATTTTTTCAAAGAAGCTCTGTAATGACGTCATAAACCATTAGCATATTTTTTTTACCAATGGTCAATATTTATTGGCATAAGTTTACACAGCAGTAACAAAAAGCTTCTTTGAAGAATGAAAATAAGCAATATGGAGCATTTTCATATTATTTTTTATGTTACAAGTTACTTCAATTGGGCCAATTGGTCATGCTGTCTTATGAATCCAGAATTCAATATCTGAGGTGTATATTACATGTTTTCTAAAAAAAAAAAAAAGAAAAATGATATCAAATTACTAGTTAAGCCAAGTGTTTCAGACTTCACTTCACCTTTCTTAATTATTTTATTAATTTTTTTTGTTTATACCTTGTAAGGTTGCACAGTGCCACCTCGCCATGCTTCAAAATCCATTTCCCCTTATATAGTTTTAAATTATTTATGGTGTATATTTATGTCTAAGTTTTGAAGGTATACATGAGAAATCTTCTACCGGTTTTCGAACCTCAAACCCCCAGCCTTACAAGGAAAACCTAATTTCGAGGACATCAAGTTGGAAAAATAAATCACCATAATTTTGAGTATCCGACCAGATACACCAAGCTGAAGACATGGCTGTTCTTGAATGGGAGTTTCTCATGCATATTCTAACCTCTCTTGGCTTTGCTTCCCAATTTTGTGATATTATTTATAATTGTATTGCTACTTCTCAAATTGTTCTTGTTAATAGCTCTCCACCCTTTTAGCCTTTTAGGGGTCCTTACGGCTAGGTAGACACCAACGGTTCTATCCACGCCTACCCACAAAATACAAAATTGAGTAGTATATATTGACTCCAGATTTCTTACCCACAACAATTCTATCCACGCCTACTTACAAAATTTCTCAGTGAATCGGAAATAATAACATGTAAAAGAATGAAATGTTCTTTCATTCTAAAAAAGAATAAGACCCATGACAAAAATTTTGTAATCCAGATCTTCCTTACCTAAAATGAGTGATAATTGAAAGAATGAAACTCATAGCAAGAAACCAAATATGGCTAAATCTACACCCACTGTGGGTCATGATCATGCAATAAACGCCCACAAGGCGACAAAGCTTTGCAATAAGAGCGTTGTTTCTCTCCCCATCGTTATAGCTATGTTTGGTTTGAAGGAAAAGGTAGGGAAAGGAAGGTAAACTTATACATGATTTGTAAAGATTTCCCCATTCTTTCTCTTCCTTTCCCTACTTTTCCCTCCAAACCAAATACAGCCTAAAAGTTACTCATGTGGAAGTGTATCAATAACATTATACCCACTAGGGTCTAGGGAAGCTATTTCCAGCCGCCATTTACCCCACTGAAAATATTTGCCCGCTTTTATCGATCTGCTTTGCTTCGAAAGCAGTATGGTTTATATTGCCTGAAAGTTCAGGATTTCGGCCACTTCTATTAAAAATAATAGCAATAAAAATAAAAATACCATAAGAAATATAAAGCTAATAAAATAATTAAAACGTATAATTCTATCCTAATTCTAAATTTTTGAGAATTTTCATTCAGATCAAGGCCCAAATATGATTGAAGCTTGAAAAATTTTAAATCTTTTTTTTTTTGTAAAAAATTTAAAACCTTAAATTACACCTATATATTTTTTTACGGTTGGGTATTGGGCCGGGCTGGCCCAACCTAGCTCAAAGCCTAACTCACCTTGTTAGGTCCAAGGCCCACTCAATCTCCAAGAGAACTAAAGTCGGACCTGGTCAAAATCTAATTCCAAGGTTCGAGTAGGGTTCGGATCAACCATAAAACTAATCTCATTCCTTGGTGGGGACTGATGTATAGGTATAACCAAAGTTTAAAGTACTAACACGTATGTTCTGTATCGACTGATATATATCGTATCAAGAATATTTCAATATATTCTTACAGAGGATGTATCAAAGTTTTGACCAGTTCAAAGGGTGGAGGAGCGTTAAACCAGCCCCCTGAACCGATTTGGCATTAACTTTAGACTAAAAGTTTGACATTAACTTTGGACTAGTCCAAGCCCAACTGTAAACCTAACAGGCTAACATATGTTTTTGGGTTGGGAACAGGTTGGGCACCTTGGGCTTAGTTTGGGCCTCGGATTTTTGACAGCGTATTAGCTGAATATGATAGCTGTATTGTAGTCTGTGGGATAAATCATAACGCCCAACGCTAGCCATAAGTTGTGGAACATATGCTTTATTATGGCTGGCATGGGACATTATGATTGGCCCCACAGCCCGTAATAATATAGTCATCAAGTACAGCTAATCCGTTCTCTATACTTTTCGATTATTTGATTATTTATATAATGCCTTTTTTTGGTAGATTATCTGTATATAATTGTTCTAATAATGTAATGAAAAAGAAAAAGGCTAATAAGGTGAATTGAAAACCTTACGCTCTTTTACTTCTTTCAGAGCGTGCAAATATTGATACAAAATTATGGTAATACAAATGATTTGAGTGCAAATTTTGACTTATTTACGTTTAAAATTCTATCTTATTTTATTTGATTGCAATACAAATAAAGTAAGATAAGACCTGAAGTGGAATAAAGTAAAACCCAAAAATAAAATTAAACTACAATTTGCATTCTTTTCATTTGCACTCAAATGCATTTATACTAGTAGAGAAAATTTTGCACTACAACCAAACACAGCCTATAAAGATTTCAACCCCTGATCTAATCACTATAAGAAGAGAAAATGAAATCCGCTCACTTTAGTATCTTGTGTCTTAAGGGCCTTTCTGGGTCAGTGGTTTGATCGTCCAGACCGAACAGATCAGCCCATGATACTTTAAAAAGTTGAAAAATAAAATAAAATAAAAAATTGGCCTGAAAACCGTTGTTCGGATTGATAATTCAACTGCTTGGGTAATTCAACACTTTTTGGGAAAGTACATTATCCAGTTTTTGGGCTGAATGGCCCGACCATCTGGGTCAATGACAGTTTTAACTAATCATAACTCATAGGCTGTTCATGTGAGACTAGACTTGTTCACAGGTTCAAGCTAGGTTTTGCCTCTTTATTAACAAAAAAATGACTAGGCCCGAGCTTGAGCCCAGTCCAATTTGGATATATATTATAACACATTAAGGGAAAATCTATGATCCGGGAAAGATATGATACGGAAACATTTTTGGCCAATCAAAATGCATCCATGAATTTTGATAAATAACACCTGATTTGATACCATGATTCCAGTTTATTGGTAAGTTATTTTCGGATATTAATCTTTTCCATATCATAGTCTATTATATAATGTATATAATGCTTTATAATATATATTATATGTTATTAATATATACTTTAATGTATATAATATTGTCGGGCTAGGCTTATTTGAAAATACTTGAACCCAACACAAAAAATAGTTAGACTTAGTGTTTAGAACCCAAGCTTGTGGGCCTAAAACTTTGCCCAAGCCCGATAAAGAATGGGCCAGGCTAAGCCAACCTGTTGGACTACCCAACCCATGAATAGGTCTATATTGGGCCCATTTCAAAAAGTAAGAAGCCGAAAGCTACTTCATGAAAGCCCTTCTAGTTGGCTACCCATACATAAAATACTTAGAGTTGGGCCTATTACATAGTTTTAATTACTAAAAATCTTCTTAATATACGCATGCAAATTATAAATGTAAGACCAAAAAAGAAGTAAAAAATAAACGAGAAAATATGGCTTTGACCCTTTCTTCCCATTATTATCAATACTAATGAGAACCCCTCTCAACCACTGCAACGAAGATGAGATTGGATTCCAAGTCCTCACTACAACTGGATCGAGCTTTAATCAAACTGTTTGGATCCCATTATTATCAATAATATGTATGTATGGTATATATATATATATATATATATGTGTGTGTATATGTATGTATGTATATATTGAACTTTTGAGCTAAATTTGAATTCCTTGAATATTTAATATATTCAACTGAACTTAAGTCTGAAAATAGATTTCAAATTGAACTCAAACAGAATAATATTGTAGTTGAACTGAGCCAAGATATGCTGAAGTTCAGTTTCAGCTTGATTTGGTTACACCCCTAACTATAACCAGCCAAAGACCTTAGGCTAAGTTTGGAAAGAATACAAATGCAAATATGTACAGCGTAAATATATACAAAATAATACAAAATATAAGGTTTTGCATTCTACATATTTGCATTTATATTCCTTCCAAACTCAACCTCACAAAATCCGATCTCCGTTTATTCAACAAATGATGCACAGGGTCGTGTTTCAAAGGCCATCTAGAAATTACAACAGGCTCTCTCTCTCTCTCTGAAATGAGTTGTCATTTAATACTATTAGGTGTTAAATTCATCTTTATCTAATATTATTAGCTAGGTTACCATGTCTATGGTTAGTCTTGAAAATTTTTTGCCTTTTTAGTGCAATTTATTCCTTTGAAGACTTGAAAATTTTAAATAATAAAGGAGGGACGAAAACAAAGGGATAGGAAGAAGGGCCTTTAAATTAGATATATAGTTGCATGCTCATAACTCATAATTAGCCTTTAGCCAAGAAAATTCAACCACAACGACACTTGATTATTTATAGAGCTTGGAATGGGGTGAGGGTAACAATATAACTTTTCTTCCGTTAGTTAAGGGCTGACAGGGCGGAGGGCCTGTAGATCCAACTTGTAGGGGAGAAAATATATCAAAGGCCTCTGGGTGTTATCTCAGAGTGAAGACTCCGATGATTAAATTAGCAAGGGCATGGCAAAAGATCAAACAAGACTTAAATGAAGATAGCTCAAACGAGATCATCAGAAAACTAGAAAGCTTAGAGCAATAAATGCCACTTCAACTGATAACAACCCAAAAGCCAAAAGGCATTGTTAGCTTTTGTTAACAAATCAATAAGGTGGAGTAATTAATTGGTTCGCAAATCACGGGACAAATCTAAATTCTAAGCACAAATAACGACTTCTTTCTTTCTTTTATGCTTGCTTCTTTTTTGGCTGACCAGAAACCTCAACTTTAGACTTCTGCAGATCTTGACTTCCTCGTAGAAAAACTATTATTTCCTAGTCGGCGAGTCGTCCTCGTTTTTTATCGTTTCTTTGACTAAACCGTCTAAAGCCGTATGGGATGTAAATGTAATAACGTAAAACCCGTAAGTCCAACGGACCTGCCATTGCCAACCCTCTCTCCTCAAGTCTTAACTAGATTCTTTCAGGTGGGCATGTATTTCTAAACCCAAGCCCAGTTTACATTGCAGCCCATCCAGTTCAGCTGCACATTTTCCTCTCTCTCTCTCTCTTTCTATTCTCCATATATTATTGAGCTTAATTTCTCAAGACCTGATTCAATTGAACCAGTGCGGGGCTCTTGTTATGGGTCTAGGTCTTACAAAATTTGTACTCGAAGAAGATAGCCAAATTAGGAGGACAAATTAAAGCAGGACAAACCTTTTCTTTGACTACTTGCTATCAGTACAAAATATGGTTCAACTTCATAGCACATGCATCTAACAGACCTACACACTTAAATTTTGAAATTAAAAACATGCGGAGGAATTTAAATTTTGAAAATTTCTTATTTTATTTCTTCGAGTGTATTAATATAATTATTGATTGAATTTAAATATTAAAATATCTAGATTTATAAATATTAATCTTATATAATATGATGTTATTTGAAATACTTTGATTTAATTAATTTGTAGGGCCTCCAAATTAAAAATAAAAACAACCCCAATATATATAGCATGGGTTGATAATTGTATATACTATATAGCCATTAAGACTGAAGAGGCATGCATTACGAATTAATATGTTTATGTTTGTATTAGATAAGTCCAATAATTAATGACAGATTGACAATTAATTTGCTCTGCCGGGGTTTTCGCCTGTGAATATTTATTATTTGTGGAATTTTAAAGAACCCGTCCAAGGCTCTAAAATGTCTGAGGCTATTTTGTCAAAGTCCAGTCATGCATGTGGAAGTGGAACAACTTGTGGACCGGGTTTCAGTACTCTAACTTAGCTAGGTTTGACAAGGAACTGTTGGTACAACAACTTGTGGGATCCCACCGGCATCCACCTCCATAACGATTTAAAAGTATGGTTTACATCGTTTTCATCTAGCTTTAATATTTCTTTCTAGTCATGTTTTCCCATTTACAGGTTTATTGAGAGACACAGACAGTACTGTATATAAATTGGCCTGCCCTCCCCCATTAGCCTTCACAGCACTCCTTGGAGAAGATTAGTATCTTGCCTTTACAACATTCTCCCATGCCAATGGCTTCTTTCCTTAGCTCAAGGACCCTAATGGCATGCCTGGCTCTTGCTCTTACTATCTGTGTAAAGGGCACCTTAGGTCTCTCTTTCTCTCTTATTATTTAGGGATGGTAACAGGGTGGGTTAGGGAAGGGTTTTGTAAATTTTAGACTCTATCTATCGTCTTAAATTTTTTAACCCATATTAAGTTGGATCTTCAGAATACAAACTCTTCCCGTATATAAAAGTATAAAACTCTCTCTGGCTCTACTCTCCCTTCATTTAAGGGTGGGGTGGGTCAGATTGAGAGATTGGGTCAAAAATTTATATCTAATTTCTTGTACTATATAAATAATAAACGAGTAAAAATACATTGCAGGCGGAGGCGGGATCAAAATTTATAATTATTTGATTAAACATATAAAATTTAAAATATTATTATATTTAGCATCTAGTAAAAATATGTATATGACTTTTAACAATATGTGGATAAGGAACAATTGGGTTTAACTTAATAGTGTACCCTATCAACCATTGCAGGCGGAGGCGGGATCAGGTGCGAGAATCTAGGCAAAGATAGCTGCGCGTTTGCAGTGTCATCATCTGGTACTCGATGTGTTCTGGAGAAGAAGGTGCGAAGAAGTGGGGAAGAGGTGTACACATGCCGGTCATCAGAGATCGAAGCTGATAAGTTGAAGGACTGGATTGAAAGCGATGAGTGCATTGAAGCATGTGGGCTCAGTCGCAACAGTGTGGGGATATCATCTGATGCCCTTTTGGAGCCTTGTTTCACACAGCACCTCTGCTCTTCCCACTGCTATGCCAACTGCCCCAACATTGTCGATCTCTACTTCAACCTCGCTGCAGGAGAAGGTACGTAATTTAACTACAACACGACTCCTTTCATTATTATTAATTACTTTGCTGCTTGATCGATCGGTCGGAACTCGGATGCTTTCAATTAATATATGGTGGCGGGCGTTGATGAACTGCTTTTAATTTCGATGATCACTTTGTTTAATTAATTGTATAGGTGTTTTTCTTCCTAAATTATGCGAAGTCCAAGGAACAAATGCTCGTCGACAAATGTCGGAGATCCGAAGCTCAGGTCTGGTAGCACCGGCACCAGAGTCCGGGCTGTCTATGAATTATCTCGTGGCTCCTGCAGTGGCACCGGAAACCAGCTTGTCCATGGATTACATCGTCGCACCAGCAATGTCACCCTATTAATTAATTAATTACCGGAGCGATCAAATATTGAAATATAGCGAGAGGCAGGGAGCTCCGGCTCACACATGCAGATAGAAATCTTAGAATGTTGGTTACTTTACTGGTAAAGTAAATATATAGCAGAATAAAAGTATTTATACACCTTTGATACGGAAATCTTTATACTTTAAAATGCTATAATTTAGTACATACTAATAGAGAGGTTAGTTATGTATATTATATGGCGTTATGTGGGATTTAATATTTTTAAAAATATCAAAATTATCCTTAAAAATAAAATATACTGTTCATTATCTTCTTCCTGAAACAGAGCTCAAGCTCTTTTTTACAAACATGATCTTTTCTCACAGCCCAAACTTGCATTGAGCAACAGCACAAAGACTTGCAAAAATGATGAAGGTATAACAGACTAAGCTGTTGGGAGCCATGAAAATGGTTATTACAATACTTTCCGCAACATTAACACAGTGAAGGTCCTTCTCACGCTACAAGCCTGCTAAATACTATGCAAATAGACCTAAGAAGTACAGAGATACTTCTATTTGTATTGACATTGAAACGTTCCAAATGATTCAGAAGACAAGGAGCTGATGAAATAAGTAGATTTCCACCATGCCAACCACCTATCCAATGGTTCCCAGTTGCACTAACCTTTTAAAATCAAGCAATTCATGTGTCATAATACTTTTTCTCCATTCTTTAGAAAGTAATTGACAGTAATGTTGGAGTACCATGTCGTCATGTCAATGGGGTCATTTTTGTAGGGACGAAGCACAAGGGACATTACTCATTAGTAAAGGCAGATGTGGCTATCTGTGTCGATGGTTGCTAGGTCGTATGGCTACATCGCACCAGATGAATTGATCTTACTTAAAGTTGATTGTTTCGATCATTTCACCAGACTATTTAACTGATTTGGGTTGTTTTTACAGAGCCAGATTAATTTATATACATATATATAGAAGTAACCATTGCTCGGATCATTGATGAGCAAGTTGGTTGTCGTGTGAATATAATAAATTAATCGGGGAAGATTCACACCACAACCAACTTGCTCATAAGTTGGTCCCAATAGCGCCGGAGGAGGTACGGCCCAAGAAGACGATGGTAGCCACGACAGAGACTGCAGTGGTGGGTTTAGTGTCCATGGTAGGTGGGGAAGGGAGATGCGAGAGGATAGAATCGGTGACATTCTTGACAGAAAATAGACACATTTATGACGATTCATCGTTTGATGGGTTCCCGGAAAATCCCCTTCTCCTCTCTCTCTCTCTTAATAGATCATTCTTGTTCAGTTTGTTGTTAGGGAGGGAAAATTAAAAAAGATGAAAAATTCGTTGGTTCTGATTTTAACACATAGTTGATAAAAAAAAAAAAAATTAGATGACACTTAAAGGGTATTTATGTCTTTTTACATGTAATCTAATGAGTTCAAATACTAGATTATCATATTTTAAAATTGGGGACCAAATTACCATTCGTGCCAAAGTAAAAGGTACTAATCCAGTTGTCGGGTTGAGTGAACATTCATACGTGCTAGGTGTTTCTATTTTTTTTCCCTCCTTTCCTTTATTGTTGTGTCCTACTTGAAGGGATGAATTTAAACCATTGATCGAGTCATTTATTCTCGAGGGTGAGTCTCTTAGGTCTTAGCGTAATTAGAGTCTATTGACTCTGATCTCTTACCTCCTTGGGAAGACAGATTACAGGCTCATCCTTTGTAGATTCCCTCACTGCTCGCTGATGTTCAGCAAATCATGCAGCTCACAAGCTGATCATGCGAGCTTTATTAATTTCTCATTATTTTACTTGGTCCACTATTCTTGATGTTTTTATTTGAAACTATATCTTTTGAGTGTAACACCGAGCAGATTTCTTAGCGTCTATTTGGCATTGATACCATTCCTTCAGAAAACGGTGATACATCAGCGTTAGGTAAAAAAAACGGTGCTCCAGAAAATGTATTTTATTTGTAACTGTTTTTCCATAAAACAGATGGTGCTCTAAGTCACGTCTTGGAAATCAATGTTGTTGCTTCAGAAAACAGTGACACATCAGCGTCATGTCAGAAAAAACAGTACTCTAGGAAATACCTGTTTGTTTAGAGCTGTTTTTCCATAAAAAATGGTGCTCCAAGCCACATCTTAGAAATCGAGAAAGCATGATTTGGAGCAACGCCGAATTTGTTGTTTTCTTATATTGCAGTTCGTTGTTGCTAACAAGGACGTGATGTGGCAATGATGTGGACTTCCTATAATGGGTACTAGTGCTGAAAACAGACATGGAGCACAGGTACCAAATAGAAAATGTTGTTGTTGCTCCAGGAAACGTCCTACCTAACAATAACATTTCTAAAGAGAAAAAGACATTGTTTTCTCATAAAACAGTGTTGTATCTACAGCATCGATGCCAAATATATACTTAATGAATTCGGTCATCAGCTCCATGTTGAATTGTTGATGACCTATTTGCCTTCAAAAACAAAATAAAGGCATCTAGGAAACGCATACTGCAATTAGTTACTAACTATTATACTGTACATCTGGACGAAATTTAAACTGGATGGATGTACTTAGCACACTAACAACCCTAAGTTTTGCGGGAGAAAATGTTAAAAGGTTTATTTACTAAAACACTCCTTATAGTTTTATGGATTTACTAAAACCTACTTAATAGTTTGCATTTTACTAAAATACCCCCTATCACTACAAGAAGAATGGTCAAAGTCGGTGGTCCTATTAGGCCTTGTGACTTGGCGGTCTTGATCTAAGGCGGCAGCTTTTTAGGGGGCGATTCAAATTGCTCTAAAGCGGCGATCTATCGAAGCCGCCGGGTTAGTGTTAATAAGGATGCGGTTTTGACCGCCAGCTTAGATCTCCTTAGACTGCCGCCTTAGGCCAGTTAAAATGTTTCTTCCATTTTAAGGTGGCGGTCCAAACCGCCGGCTTAGATCTCCTATGACCACAACCTAAGGCCAGTTAAAATATTTCTTTCATTTTCCTATAGCGGTTTGGACCGCTGACATAGGTCTCCTTTGACTACCACCTTAGGCCGGTTAAAATGTTTCTTTCGTTTTTTTGGTGGCGGTCCAGATCACCGGCTTAGATCTCCTATGACCGCCGCCTTTTTTTATTTTTTATATATCAATTTGCTTTCAACGTTTTTTTGGTACCTGTTTAATACAAATCTCATGGTAGATAATACATAAAATTTAATTTAAATAAAAAATGCAAATAAAAATAAAAAACTTTTAATATTAATTATTATAATATCCAAAACAAATTGCTTAAATACAAGATACAATTGACATATAAAAAAAGTACAAGACATTTAAAATTTGTGCATAAGGCTCCATGAAGTCCCAAAGAGCACTTGGTATCCCTGTCTTTCACATCTGATGTATTACCCTTCCCTGCTGCACTTAACCATGTATCTTTTACACTATTGAAAAGGCGATTGGCATGGTCAAATTGGCCTCCTTGCAGCTTCAGATTCTTTGTACTGAATGGTGGAAGGCATAAAAGATAAAATAGTACAATTCCTGCACTAGAATAATGTGAACCATAGTGAAACTTCGGAATATCTGGGTCATCCCAACTCTCATATCTGATCTAACAAGAGAGACAAAAAATAAGATAAAATAAGAACATCAGGGTGGTTGCATAGATCTCTTTGAATGGAAGATGATATTAGCACCATGCTAGTGAAGCAAGGATGATCAACTTATTTAACCATATAGAAAATTTGGTCACAAATGAGAAATAAAAAAATAAAATCACATAAAAAGAAAAAAAATGGTAACATGATAGATATATGTTATAGTAACATTTTCTTAAATTCTTCTTCGCCCTCTGTTGTTTGGCATGCCATTGGCTTGTCAAGCTTACAGAATGTGTTGGGATCATCCAAATTCAGAGTTTTACTCCCTCATAGTCTGCGAGAATCCATAGGAACACTGGATACTAAGTAAGGTCACTATATCCACGTCCTGCTAGAGTGTTGAGATGCATGAGGTATTGGAAATTTCTTTTCTTGCCATTCTACCACCTCTTTGAGAAGGAATTGGCCATAATCTTGAAAAGACGACTGACTTCATTCCCTTCTTGTTTTAGTCTTCCTGAAATAGTTGTGTTTAACCTGTTGCATGAATGGATATTATGAATTTGTTATGATCTTGAGTTCCACAATCAAAAGGGTTTGCTAGAAACAAGTCAAACAAAGAAGACAATGAACACCCAGATAAATCAGAATGATTTCAAGTCACAGACTCAGAAAGACAAGCTGCATGTGTTACAGCCAGTCTGCCATACGCTGCTCTATTGAGCATATGTATTGTTTAACATATGACTTGATGACCTATGCTATTGGCTCAAGGATTACAAATTGCAAAAAGATACCCATCTAAATTACACCCCAAGCTCCCTTGATAAGCTCACAATTTCTCTTAGTGGTTGTCTGAATGTGTGTTTATCTTTATTCAATAATAAATCATGAAAAGATACAATCAATTATATCAAAAAAATGCTCATGGAGGACTAACCCACATACTAAAATTCTACAACACTGAAATTACCAAATTTGTTGCAAGAGATCAACAAACATTTCCAAGAAGTATGAAAAGAGGGGAAAATAAAAAGAAATGAAGAACATGATCATGTGTGTCCATTGCTGATTATACCTTGTTCAGTAAAACTGAAATTTTGTTGTAGCAGTGAAGCAAGACTCTTTAAAGAAATGGAACTTTCTTCCTCAAATAATGTGTTGCATCACAAGAAGGGTCATCTTTATTTCATTTGAATCTCACTTGTACAGTGCTGCCATCATCACTACAAGCCATCACTACCTACAAGCAAAGTACAGAAACATCATAGTAGTTTTATTACTATTAGTGCAAATGAAGCCTCAAATGAACACAATCATGGCACAAGATAAATAATACACCACATGATACTTGGCATGGCATGAATAGGAGGATGTAGAGAAAATGGATAATGTCTGATGCTACCTAGGCATGGCTTTGTCATACTTTGCCTATATTTGACCATTGGATGTGTCCCCAGTAGATTCAACTTCTCAATCCATGTCAGAAGGATAAGAAACCACTTGTTCTGCATATTGATTATACTCTGTTTGATCATCGGTCAACAG